TATTCCTATCATCGTTACATTGTATGACAGGAGCCTAACTGAAGGGTGCGGACCACGAACACAAAGTTCATGCATTCGAATCCGCCATTAGACTAATGTCGTGAAGCACTCCTAACAAATATTTTCAGTTATAAGGAGTATAAGTAATGTTAATAGCATAAATATTATATTTTTAATTAAAAAAATTACTGCCTGGCAAAATCACTCCACTACTAAACCTAGACCTCATAAAATTGATATCTGCTATAGTTGCCAAGCTTGGCGAGCGGGTTTGGTAACCGGAGTTTTTTATTACTTTAAACTATTATTAGGAAGATACATAATGAATTTGAATATACTGAATATTAATTAACCGAACTTTGCTAATGTAAATATTTATATGAATTAATATGAAATAAAAATATGATGTATACTTGAGAACGTCATGTTGATATGGAAACAAATTATATATTATGTAATAATATATCCTTAATACATTTAAAAAAAAACTCGTCACGACGTCCGTTTACGCTTATCTTCGAAACAGCTCAACAGATTTTTTAACAAAATTTTGCAAATATTGCTTGCTTCAAATTAAGAGGCTAGTTTTAATCCCGTTAAGTGACCATCTTTGACAGGTATATAATCAAAGATGACCATCAATATTTGTTGTTGCGAAGTTAAGGATTTTTTTATAGGACAAAGGGTCGTGTGAAAGGGCCGAACAACGTCTGTTACATAGATTGCTGAATATATACTAACTAGAGTCTGATAGGTCAGCTAGTCTTTGTATGTAAAATTCTTCCGTCCAAGTGTGTGTGGCTGAGGACGAATACGGTCTTCCATGTCGATAGGGGAAAGGTTGCTAACTCCGAGGGCATAGACTTATCTGTGCCTATCAACTTAAGCCACAGAATACTATAATACATCATCTCAAAGAATACCAGCGTGAAGTAGACGCTTCACTTCTGCATTTCGTCTGTTAAGTACTGGTGGCCGGAGACTCAAAACCGAGACTGAGTCGTGGTCCTTCACTGCTGGTCTTTGAAAGCTCAACATCGCTCTGCGAGTTATGGAGAGGGCGTTCAGCATGAAAGACATAAACAATGAATGGGCATCCGAAGTAAAATCAGAGTACGCGACATAGCCCAGCTAATCAATATAGGCCGGTCCTATAGACAACTGATGAGAGGTTCTCAAGTGGCAACCTCGTACCTGCCAAGCGTGGTAAGTATGGGTCAAATTAATAATAATAATAATAATCTTTATTGACATAAAATTTGTTACAATATTATTTAAGCCTCTGATTCCCGAGCTAGGTTAGAAAACCTGTGTTACGAGAGTCAGCGATCTCCCTAATATAATGACAGCTACTTATTTTATGTAAATAAAGCAATTTTAAAATCTGTGTGTGCGTGTGTGTATGAGTGTGTGCGTGTGTTCATGTGCGTGTGTTTGGGTGTGTGCATGTGTACGTGCGTGTGTGTATGTGTATGTTAGTGCGCGCGAGTGTGCGTGCGTTTGCGTGTGTTGGTGTGTGTGTATGAAATTTAGGATTTAAACAATTTTTTATACTAATATCGATTCAGTTCGTTCATAATCTAATCCTAATAGCCAATTCTTAATTTTAATTTTCACTTTTCTACTAGTTAAGGGATATATATTTGTTAACTTATTAATTTTGTTGTATAAATATATAGCTTTATATGCATGTTGCCGTCTAGCAGAGGCTGTTCGACATGTTATTGGTAAACATACATTTTTATTAACCCGGTTTTTGTTACAATCAGTGGCATTATAAATGGTAACCATATGCTGTTTAGTAATTAACTTCAAAATGTACAGTTGCCTCACAGTTAATACTCAACATATCTCATACAATTCTTTAGTGGGAAATCTGTATGGCCTAAATGCCATGACTTTTAGGAGGGATCTTTGTGCCCTTTCCAGGCGGATTAGAAAGGTCTTACAGGCTCCTCCCCAGACGTTTATACAGTACCCTATTACAGACTGAACGAAAGCATAGTAAATTGAACGCAAGAGAGGTAAATCAGCAGTGTATCTTAACTTTTTAAACACCCAAATAAGTTTTCTAGTACGTACGTACGTAATAAGTACTCTAGTTCAGTTGTAAGCTCTATGTGTGAGCGCCAGTTAAGTTTGTCGTCCAGTATTACACCAAGATATTTGACACTATTGGATTTATTAATTGCAAGACATGAACATGAGGAGATAGTATTGAAAGGGTTAGTACACGAGCGGACCTTAAGATCAACGTTTACGGATCCAGTGTTTCCCAAGGAGAACTGCATGTATGTAGTTTTCGAAATATTTAAAGTTAGGAGATTACCGCCGAGCCAATGGCCAACTCTGTGAAACCCTAACTGAGCGTTATGTCGAGCGTCATCCCAAGTCTTACCATGGAAGGCTAAAGCTGTATCATCAGCATAGGTAAATATTTTGCCGTTTACTAAAGGTTGCTGACATAAATCATTTATATAAATAAGGAAGAGACTAGGTCCTAGTATACTTCCTTGTGGAACCCCACATACATTCGATTCCTCGGGGCTGACATATTCACCCACTTTAACCTGTTGTTTACGGTCACATAGGAAGTCCTTAAAAATCATGAGTGCATTGCCACGAATACCAACGCGTTCTAACTTGCTCACAAGGATAGGAATCGACACCGTGTCAAACGCCTTGGATAGGTCGAGGAAAATCCCCAAACATTTTTGCTTTGCATCAACCTTTGATGTTACAAATTCTGTCAATTGAATTACCGCGTCTTCAGTGGACTTCCCCGACCTAAATCCAAATTGTGAAGAAGATATTACTTTATTATATTCTAAAAATTTAATAAGTCTATGATTTAATGATTTTTCCAAGATTTTAGAGATAGACGAGAGTACTGAAATAGGCCTGTAATTGGAAATTTCGTCTCGGGATCCATCCTTATGAACAGGAATGATCAGCGATTTTTTAAAAACTTTTGGAAAGATTCCTTGCTCATAACAGAGCTCAATAAGTTTAATCAAAGGTGGAACTACTAGATGTACTAATAATTTGAGAAGTTGCACAGGTATAGAGTCCCACCCAGTAGCAGAGTTATTTTTTAAGCTTCTGATAATCGATTCTACCTCTCCCTCATCTGGTGAAAGTAGCACAAAAGAGTTAGGAACCGATGAAATTGTGAAATTATATGGAGAGCTAAGCACAAAAGAGTTAGGAACCGATGGAATTGTGAAATTATATGGAGGAGCTATTTTGATTTGAAATATTTGCAGCGTCAGCTAGTTTTTTACTAATATTAGAGAAGTATTTATTTATGTTTTCTACATCACGAACAGCATTTTCATTAGAACTCAAAAGGTTATCAGCACTCGTCTTTTGTTTCTTGTAATTTATTATAGTTTTAATTGCATTCCAGGTATCTTTATTAGTTTTCGCATTACGTAATAGTGACTTTTCGTAGTTTCGTTTAAGGTTTCTCAACAAAGAGTTACAATTATTTCGGTAACGCTTGTAAGTGATTTCAAGAATTTTATTTTCAGGACTTTTTTTAAGTTTACGATGAAGTTTGTCTCTGTGTCGAATACAACGTAAAAGACCAAGAGTTAGCCATGGTTTTAGCGTTCTTTGTTTATTAGGGACACAACGGGAATGGGAGTGAAGTGAAATTGCACTAGCCAACTTTTCTACAAGAGTTAATGCGGCTTCATTTGCATCACATGAAGTGTTTATAAATGAAAAGTTCACTGTCTCTAAATATTTTAAACAAGCATCGTAGTTGATTCTAGTAAAAAGCTGTCTCTCTGTCAACATAGCGAATCGGGTTTGTAGCAGTGATTAATCGATAATACAACGTAATTGCTTGTATGTGTGCTCCCGGCGACGCTGAATCTCGTACAAAATAAGGTTGACAACCATTCAATTGTGTATTAGATATAGTATTCTATGACTTAAGCACTCTTTCCGAGCCTGAACCATACCGATATCTGGGTATACCGATCATAAACGTACCGATAGCGATGTTCTGTGACATACCCAGGTATCGGTATCGGTACGGTAGTAGATTATCTTACGGCAACGGGCTCATCTCGTTGATGTAGTAAGAGGCAATTTAGAGAAATAAAACATGTGCCACAACATCTTCCTGACCACAAAATAATAGAAAAACTATGGTTGCCAACCCGCCTGCCAAGCGTGGCAACTGTCAAATATGAGGCAATCTATGAGGGGTGACCTTGGTAGGACTTTTAACAGGTAATGAACGAATGAATACAATTAAGGGTGACAAACGAACGCAGAGTCTGATGGTAAGTGAACGAACGAACGAATGACCCAAATATACCTATCGGTCCGCTAAAAATAGATACGTGGTAGAGCCACGCCGCAGGTATATTATGGTTGTAACACGAATGGGTTGGCTCGACCGGGGAAGGACCACGCTCTCACAGAATACCAGCGTAAAATAATGTATATGGAGTGTAGAGATCCGGAGAACCTTTTTACTGGAAACGAGGCATTTCGTCTCAGCTTTCGGGGGTTGCAGACAACGCATCTGCATTTTGATACCTAAATTAGGACGGATGTGCCTTCATAATTGACGATAAATGTAGCTGTCTATGGGCCACAGCGTCCACTTACCATCAGTTGGACTGTGAGCTAATTTTTGTCAGTCAGTGGGGTGTTTATTAACAAATAACCTGTATTAATTTAATAGGTACCAATTCCGCGGCAAAATGTTCAACAAAAGACGAATTTTCAACACGCTTTTATTATCTTTGCTATCTACGTGACGGAATCTTTTAATGTAATTTTGACAAACTTGTAGACAGCCGATTGAATTAAAAATTTGCGCTCGTATCAAGGATCGATAACAATACAATAATTTATTAAATTTATCCTAGTTTTCTGACTAGAATCACAAAGATAATTCTCTCTAGAATTATAATTAGAAATTATAATATTATTAACAGTTAAAATAATAAATACAATAATGAAATAAGATCACAAACCTCGCAAACGCACGCGACCTGCTCCTGTGTGAAGCCAAAGCTCGGCAGGGGGGCGTCCCTGGGGGCGTCGCCTCCCGCTGTCCCCATTCAGGGCCCCCCAGCATGTCCAAATGCTCGTCCCCGGCCACTTTGACACTACAGTTTAACGCCACAAAGCCAGCACCACTTTTTGGTGCTAAAAGTCAGTATTTTAAGACAACGAGTAATGTTTACTTTTTAATTCACTAGCTGGCCACTTATAAATAAAAAAGGAATTCATTGACAGTTTAAGTTTTCACACTTTTTATAAAAATAACTGATGATATGGTAACACCGAATAGTTCACAAAACTTTCTCAAAACATATTTTGAGACATCTTAGGTTCCATAACGGTTTAGAATATCGGGTTTTGTTTATTCTTTCATTGTTTTTTTTTTCATTCAAATCCTCTAAACCCGCTAAGCAAACATTGAAAGGCAAACGTTTAAACAAAATCAATCAACTCAACATCTCTGTAGGCTTTTTGGATTAGAGCACTTAAAGTTTTTTTTTCAAAAGTTTTTTTTTTTAAATAAACACATACGGATATTAAAAAATAATAGGACACTTCGTCTTATAAAGACGCCAGTCCTTTCTGGTTTTAACACTAATCCGCTCAAATTATGTTTAGTTATTGTTTTAAAATTGTAACAACTTTTTTGATTAGCCACTTTAGTTGCACTTAACTCTCGATTTTCTCTTCTTTTTCATTTTAAAGAACGAATGTCTGATTGTTGAACGTACCTGAAAAACAAAATAAAATATATGAAATTTGTTGATTCTCAATCAATATTTTATGAGGTGAAAGTATTTTTTATAGAATAAGGGTGACAAACGAGCACACAGTCCACCTGATGGTAAGTGGATGCTGTGGATGCTGTGGCTGTGTGTTATCCTCGATTAAGAATTAAACTGCAGATGCGTTGTCATCCCTGACGACTAACATGACATACCTCGTTTCCAGTAAAAAAGGATCTCCGAATCTCTACACGCACCATACGAAACACAGCAGTATTAAGCTGCTATTTTATGATGGCATTCTGGGAGAGCGTGATCCTTCCCCGGTCGAGCCGATCGTGCTACAACCATAATATAGCTGCAGCGTGGCTCTACCACGTATATGAATTAAGTGTATGTATTATAAGATAATATAATAAATTATTATATACATATTACTCTTTTTAAAATCAATATCTACCACCTAAGAAACTCACCTTGAACCAACCAACCGTTACTTTGTAGAAATTCGTTATATAAAAAAAATTGTCTACGATCCGACCGAGGCAGGACTACCCTCTCACAAAAACCGGCGTGAAATAGCAGCTGCAATACTGCTGTGTTTCGTATGGTGAGTGTAGAGAACCGGAGACCCTTTTTACTGGAAACGAGGCATTCCATCTTAGTCCACAGGGGTGACAATGCTTCTGCATTTTGATTCTTAATCGAGGTAAAACGTCTATGGACCACAGCATCCCTTATTCTATAAAAAAACATTACACCTTGAATTAAACTAGTTTTTACGGATTTTATCGTTCCTCGGTCGAGCAAACGCGTTTGTTCTGTAACCTTAATACGCTAAAGCTTACAGAGTGGACCTTTCACGTACAATTCATTCTCCTAATTCCTAGTCTATGGTCCACTTAACTTACTATCAGTGAGCATTACGCTCGTCAGTCACCTTAAATTAAGTTAAATTAAGTTAAGTTTCCACTTCAAGTCGGAATCTTAATTAGATGACACAGATTAGATCTCACAGAATACCGGTGTGAAATAGCAGCTTAATGCTGCTGTGTTTCGTATGGTGAGTGTAGAGTGCAGAGTTATTCCATCTCAGTCCTCAGGGGTGACAACGCGTCTGCATTTTGATTCTTAATTGAGGTTAAATGTAGATGTCTATGGGCCGCAGCATCCACTTACCATCAGGTGGACTGTGTGCTCGTTTGTCACCCTTATTCTATAAAAAAAGATCCATGGACCTACCCAAATACACACAAAATTTTTTATGAAAACGAGACTAACGTACAGTACAGAACATTTATATATATATATATATATACATATATATACTAGCTTGCCAGGCAGACGTTGTTCTGCCCTTTTCGACGACCCTTTGTCATGTCCTATAAAAATCATTAAATTCGCAAAAAAAGAAATTGTGGGTTATTCATGGGAAAAAACACAATCCTATCTCTCAAGTTGGACCAAACTGCACGCGGTGTGAAAATTTGAAGAAAATCGGTTAAATAGTTCATCCATACATTCATCGCGGAAAACAACGTGACACGTTATATATAATATTTATATTTATATATATATATGTATATATATATATATATATATATATATATATATATATATGTATATATATATATATATATATATATAACGTGTCACGTTATATATAATATTTATATACACGATACCCTGGTATACACACACATATATATACCAGAATGGTCTAAAAAAGTTTCTGACTTTAACGTGAAGATGGCAGCCTTCGTCATCATTTGATAGTTACGCACCAAAATTTCAGCCATTTGGGAGTTTGGATGCGTAGTTGTTATTTGACAGTGGTTTGAGTGAGTCGATGTGTGTTTTTGTAAAAATGGGAAAAAATAAGTATCAAGCTGTCATTAAATTTTTGTTTTAGGAAAGGCAATACGCTTATGCAAACCAAAGATGAGTTGGACTTTGTGTATGGTGTCTCTGCCCCATCATTTACCACAGTGAAATTTCGGGCAGCTGAATTGCTGAAAACGTGGCCGTGAGAGCTTAGGAGACGAGGAACGTTCGTCCAAAAACTACTGATAATAACATTGCGAATTTTCGCCAAATGGTGCTCGACAACCGCCGAATTAAAATAAGAGTGATAGCAGAGACTATGAAAATATCCAAAGAACGTGTTTGTCTCATATTAAATTAAGAATTAGGCATGAGAAAGCTGTCAGCGCGTTGGGTTCTGCATTGGCTCACGTTAGACCAAAAATGTGTTCGAACGAATATTTCCAACACTCTGTTAGATGATTAGGAATTTAGGCTCAATAAGTCCGAGTTTTGGCATCGATTAATTACTGTAGATGAAACTTGTATACACCATTATACGCCCGAAACAAAACAGTGGAAAGCAAAGAGGGAACCGGCTCCAAAAAGCAAAGCTGTTTTTTCGGCTGGGGAAAGTAATGGCGACTGTTTTTTAGCATAGTCATGGAGTTATCTAAATTGATTATCTTAAAAAAAACAAAAATCATTACAGGACCATACTAACGCATCATGACATGACAAACCGAAGACAGAAATGGCTGAAAAACGGCCTCATTTGCAGAAAAAGAAAATCCTGTTTCACCATGATGACGCGCCGTCTCACTACTCTGTGGTTACAACGGTGAAAATCCAAGAATTACGGTTTGAACTGCTTGATCATCCGCCTTACTCACCAGATCTGACCTCAAGCGACTTCTTTCTGTTCCCTCATCTAAAAATTGCATTCTGAGGACAGAGATTTTCGTGAAATGATGAGGCAATCATCTTCGTGAACAATTATTTTGCAGAGAAAAACACCGAATACTATTTGATCGGGTTAGAGAGATGGGAGTGTGAGCATCGCTGGGAGAAGTGTGTGTGTGAACAAGGAGACTATGTAGAAAATATAAAAGAAATATGTCTTGTAACTTTGTTAAGTCGGAAACTTTTCAGATCACCAACGTAGAAAATGCTAAACTATGTCTGACCGGGTATATATTTATTTAGATTTTTTTTTCAACTTTATAATAAGACGGAGTATTTAATAGAAATAAGTGCACGATACTTACTCGAGCACTTATTTTCTTAAAGCCGTCTAAAGATTGGGTGAGACACAGATAATCAATTCTCTCATATTTACATAAAAATACCTTCACGTACCATAAAGTATTACAAAGATCCAGAGACAAGACAACAAAAGATTTACTATTTATTTTCACCAAACAAGCCGAAGTGCACCTTGCTTTTTTGTTACAAAGCCTAAAATTCTCGAAAAAGATCGACATCTCGACTACTGACGTCTCATTCTCACTTACGCACTTGTTCAAGTACGAGGGGGATGGAGAAAGGTCGTAAAGGGGCAAGATGTTAAATGGTTGGTGTTTTAAGTAATTTTTATCATCGACACGATCGTGAGGGCGGCCCGCTGATGTATGGAGCTGACGGGTTAATAGTGATGTTACGAGAACATTTACAACAATATCGATGTTTCTGTTGTGACTAAATTTAAACTATAATAAATATAAACTTGGTTAGAATTTAAAATATGGTAAACGTAGTATCATACATATAAATATGCAAAAGTAAAAGCAAAAACTAAATCTGATTGCAAGAAATTAGAACAGTGTTACCCTCTTAACGAAAATAAATATCTACCAATAATTTCTTATTTTTACGATTAGAAGTTATTCTTTTCGTAAGATGAAGAAGTTGTAGAGCAATGCAAGTGACTGGCTTTATGTGTTCTTGAATGTATAATTCCGTCTATTCCGTATATAATTAAAGATATAGGATTCACGTGGTAGAGCCATGCTTCAGTTATATTATGATTCTAACACGAATGGGTCGGCTCGACTGGGGAAGGATCACTTTCTCACAGAGTACCAGCGTAAAAACAGCTCAATGATGCTGTTTCCTATGGCAAGTGTAGAAAATTGGAGCATTTTGATTTTAATCGGTGGTAGATGTTTATGAGCTACAACATCCATCAGGTAGACTGTGTGTTACAAATTATGACATAACCGATATGTGATTATATCTATGTCTAGACCAGTAAACCAACAATTTGTGTGCTCAGTACAAATTTTTATACGTGGTACAACCACGCTGGAGCTATATTATGGTTGTAGCACGAATGGGTCGGCTCGACTGGGAAACGACCACACTCTCACAAAATAACAGCGTAAAATAGCAGCTTAATACTGCTGAGTTTCGTTTAGTCAGTGTAGAGATCCGGAGATCCTTTTTTACTGGAAACGAAGCATTCTATCTTAGTCCTCAGGGGTGACAATCTGTGTATTGATTCTTAAGCATTCTGTTTATCTATGGGC